GATACTCACAGGTAACAGACTCTTTGCTTTACAAGGGCTGTGAAAATCTACAAAAAAAAAAGGAATGATATTTTAAAACACATTCATGTACATGTAGAGTAATTAATCTACAACTTAATTCATACACACTTGATTTGGGTTTAAAAGTTTCCAAGTTAGTTTGATTTTTGTTTCCTTTTGTCTCATATATATTATCCTAATCTCAAACACAGCTGGAAAACAACTAAAACCAAATTGGTATTAAAAAAAAATTCAAAGCAAACACAACTACAGTAAATGAATAAAACTTAACATGTAGAATCAATGAGTACCAACGTTACATTGTAAAGGTGTTTGCAGAATGTTATTTTTACAACAGTTACCGTTCCCATTAACCAACCTGGTTAAAATAAGTGTGGTAGGTATGTGAGCTGAAATTCCTGACTCCTTGATACCTGGAGCTGTTAGCAAAGGAAAATAGGCAAACAGTTTGTTATGTACAATAAACAGTCCTACACATAAATAACAATACAAACAATAATAATGTTTACAATGAAGCTAATAAAACATATTTTTAACTGTTTCTACTCAGTTACTTGCCAGGGTTTAGATCACAAGCTAGATTTTTAGGAAAATTTCTTTGGGATGGTCCAGATCAGGATCAATGATCCAAGGTCACTTGAATTAACAATGAATCAAAGGAACCAATGAATCTGCACTGTTGAGGATTCATCAGTTTCTTTTAATGCACCTTGGTTCAGGAGTTTCACTAAGAGCTGGGCACTGGGCAAAATTACCAGCTGATAGGATAGTTTTGCCCACCTGGTTTGACGATCTATAAGAAAGTCTTATAAAGAAGCTCAGTTAAAAAAGTTTTGCCTGCCTGTGAAAACCAGTTGCCTTCCTGGTGAAAACGCTGATGAAAACCCCTGATGATCAACGTGACCTTTGCTCATAGATCATAGATCATAGATCACAGACGCTGACTAATCCAGGTCATCCCAAAGAAACACACCCTTTACATTATAAAGCTCCCAGTATTCATTCAAGGGTGACAGGCTTTCACTATACACATTGTACTACATAAGAATGTTTCTTACCTGAACTTCTCCAAAGCCAGAGCTTCTGTTGACTGGTGTTGATGCGGCAATACACCATTTGTTTGAGCAGCCCATGGATTGGATGTCGTGTTCTGGTTTTCATCTGGTATCCATGAGATGGATGGAAGCTAAAAGATATTAAAGAACCTATTTAGTGTAAAGACTATAGAAACCCAACTCATAAAATGTATGTACAAGTACTCGTTCATTATACATGTACATGTTATTACAAACCAGCAAAAAATGTCACTTTATCGCTCAGAGAAGCAAAACAATTCATACATGTAGAATTATGTTAACTTTGCATTTTACAAAATAATACCTGTTGTTTGCTGGCTGGAGTGTTCAGCAGGTCTAACAATCTAGATAAGTCATTTTCTTCACTGTCCCTGTAAGAAGCAACGGCTCATATCAAACTTGAATTCTTTGAAATGATAGAATTCTTTGTGCATGACAAACCTGATATGGTAAAACAACACTTAAGTGACTGCTTTATCACCTGGTTTGAAAAACTAAGCAAAATTCTCTGCTGCAAAGGTCTGGCTAAATGGTTGAGCAAGTTGATGTAATTTGAACTTGCATAAAGAACTTACACTCAGTGGCCTTGACAGTTTATCCAAATGTGCATGCAAGTTGCAAAAAAAGTCATTGTGTGATTGACTTGCATTGGGTGACCAAGTGATGAAAAAATTTAACCATCACACAGTGCACTATGAGGTGGCCTACAGTGTATACATGAAAATTTGGTCCAGACCAAATAGGGTTCCAACTAGATGCAAGACAAAACATACTGCACGTACTTGCAACTCTGTTCGGCCAGACGTTGATAACATGGGACTACTTACAAGGCTGTGATCTAGGAAAAATTTGAAAACCCAAAGATTCCTTGAACCATGAAATCCTGGGTGCCCAGCATTTAAGCTTAGATGAAAAATATGAGTTTTTCCAGTCACCCAAAGTCAAATAAAAGTTAGTTGCCTGTGGCACCCAGGCACTTCTAAAGCACAGCCCCATGCAGCCATGTAGCATGAAATGTTTTACTCTATATTGAGTATCTGGAGTATTAAAACAATTGCTTCCCATTTAAAAGGGTTGCTTATATTTGCTAACTATAGCTAGTAAGTTTATCTCATTGCTTTATCCAGTAAACACATGAGAAAGGTATTTGTCCAAGATAATGTATGATAAATGTTCAGTATCACACATTAGACTGGATATGGGAATGATCCACAGGCAAGGGTGATAATGTTTTATTTAACATATTTACAAGTATAAATTACGTTAAAGAAACTGTAAGGAAAATTTTGTCCTAAACAAAGTTTCCAGGTGTGCATGACATTTCTGTCTCAAATAAGTGGGAATTTTTGCAACCTTTTGTGAGATACAAATATATGTAAAATGATTCAAACTTGGGAGATAAACGGCAATACCAGAAATAAACATACTGCATTGCAAACTTAACTTTAAAAATATTATTTGCTCTGAATTTTCATGACGACTATCAAAAGCCAAAGCAGAATTTCTTACATGTAAGTTTAATTCTCTCTCTCTGTCTCTGTCTGTCTCTGTCTGTCTGTCTGTCTCNCCCCCCCCCCAAACCCCATTTTCTGTTAATAAAATGAAATTGGGAAGTACTCTGTACATTGTGTGACTATATAACAGAAGTAGTAGGACTTCCTGGTGATCTGAAATGACAATCCAGCTAAGGAAGTCCTACATGTTGGTTTCCTGGTCCAACAGATTCTAATAAACTTAAGTGAATACATAAAACATTCTGCTATATTGAAGACTCCTGTCTATTTAGGTGTCACTGAGAAAACGCGTCAGTTTGACGGAATTTTTTTTTCAGTTTCCATCAAGACTGATGGAAATGAATGAATCACAAATATTACACATGTGAGGTAAGTTGCTCCATATAACCCACTGCAGTGTTTGGTGATCGTATAATAAATTTCTAGTACACTTTTGTACCTTCAAATTTCATAAATAAGGTAAAAAGTGCTCATCTATTTACATCTTTAAATTTCCGTGACGCAAAATAATTATTCCCGAAATCTCGTTGGCAAGTTTGTAATAGTCTAACCCTAAGTGAGTACACAGAGTAACAAATCGGTTAGCACTAAAAAAATTCAATGCTTCGATACCGAAAGCGTCATAAACAGCAATGCTTTCATATAAAATATAAATGCTACGATTAATTAATTTTCGCAATGTAAGCTCAAGTTGCCTGAATGGTAAGAATTCTAGCAAAAATAATTATACTGTCAAAATAATCTTGATTTGAATTTCAGTCACAAAGATAAGTAAAACACTTTGTATCGGGCCAGTCCGATCGATATGATTAGTGATCACTTAGTTATGTTTATGACAAAAATAACTAACTTCTCGTGTTGATACTCAATACATACTTACGCATACATTTTGGTTAATATGCATCAAGTTAAATCGTTTGGCAGGTTTTATAGCTTCGGCTACGATTGAATAGCAAAACAATTTTTAAAATCATACCTCAAACTGGTTTTTCTGATTAAAACGAAGAATTTATTCCAATGATAAACCCAAACAAAATGTCGCACTCAAACCGGCACGTTCTTTAGTTAAAGGGGTCAGCCTCGGGCAAAATAAGTTGTATACTTAAGGCATTGTCTTATATACATGGATGATATTTTCTGTCCTTCAGAGATCTCAACACAAGATAGTTTACTCCCAAAAATAAAAATACAACGTCGTAACAGAGTCGACATGGGAAAATCAGGTTGCAAAACTAACCCCACAGTTTGCGGGAACGCTGATCGATCGATGCGGTTGGGAAGCCTAGTCCGCGAAATCGAAGATATAAGTCACCTAAAATTATATTTCACAATGCTGGCTGCAAAGCAAATTTATTTTTATGTACCTGTACACTGCAGATGTCTGACCCTTATCCCGTTTGTCCTCTACAGGCATTCTGGATTTAGTGTAAACTTAGGTTTTTCTTTTCCATGGCCAGGGAACCAAATACCTGTTGATAATAATCATACATAAAATAACTAAATTCAACCGCTCCATGGTTTCCAGCCGACAGGATCTTTCAAGTGCCTCGCAACATAAATATTCGAGGAACTAGGCTTTTAGGATGTAAATTTATTAAGTTCTAGCGATGATGTAGTCTCAGAGTTAGTAACGCTGGATAAAAGCAGAAATGTAAGAAATCGATCACCGGTTTCTCCCGATCTTAATACCATTTTCAACCAGCTAAACAAACCTGAACGACACGTCGACACCGACTATAAACTCAAACAAGATCTTCTTTCTTCGCAAGGAGGCGAAGAATTACTGTAATGGAGTTTTCAACTTTTCAAGGGAAACTTACGTTCTCCGTTAGCTATACTCAGCTATGATTAAGACTTATACGCTGTTGTGAAAAAAAACTTTGTATTCACGAGCAGACCGCACGAAGCTTCACGATCGAAAGGAAATACGTCAAAAACTACAGGAAATGACCTCGAATCTCGTTTACGTTCCGCTGCTTTCTAAATTGCAAATGATTTCACCCCCAAACTTGTATTCAGTGATCTTCTTAACTTGAGCTGTGGCAGAATAAAAAATCGCTATATATAAGACTTAAACTTAATTATAAGACTAACTTTCTGTGTGACATCTCGCTTAATTGTTGTGGGTTTTTTCTAAGCCCAATAGATTCAAACTTCTGTGAGCTCTCTGGAAATGAAATTATGTTAAGTTCTATAGACAGGTATTAACGTTACGGGAATCTAACTGAGATCATGATGATTCCATTCCCGTTTCCTAAGAAGACTGCTATAGTCGGAAGAATTTGAACGCCTCCAGCGAGAATATCAGAACATGTAGCGAGCGGAATAAACATGGTCACCCGCAAAATCGTCCGCAAATGATCTCCAAATTAGCCTGTTATGGTTAACAGAAGAACGTATAATAACTGGTACAACTTACCACAAATTTATCAACGACATCTACCCACAACCTTCACAAACTGCCAGCTTAAAACTAAGCTAAACAACAAGATTTTCGACCTACATTTCCCACGAAGCACCTCCGAGTTCGCTCACTTTGCTCAAGAAATTCGCAAAGCAACGTCAATTTCTCATGGAAAATATTGTGGTTTTTTGACCAATCAAAACGCCGCCTGGGACAATGGCGTGTAATCTTAACCAATCAAGATAACGCCTGCTGAGTTGATAGTTAAACCCTACTAGCACTCTCTAGGGAGAAATATTTCTTTTCTCTTCTGTTTTTACACCTGTAGAAAACACTTTTACTTTTTTTCTTCGTGAATGAAAAACTGCGTTATTCCTAAATATCGAAAGTATTTCAATTTTTTTTTAACCGTTATCAATTCACAGGCGGCCCAAGCGCGAGATGAGAGGACATAATTAATGTAAATGAAACGTACGCGAACATTGACTCTTGCCTTCGAGCGGTGTTGTGTTACAAAGATGTGATTTACAAGGGTTTGTATGGGAACTTTACGGGTTTGCTTTAAATACCTAAAATTTAATGTTCTGTGAATATAACTGACTTAACTTGCTTTCCTGTCGTATTCTTTGTTGTTTCGTGGTGTTTGAGGCCGTTTTGAAGCGTTTTCAGCGAGTTAGCGCTGGTGGTGTCCCACTAGTAAATAACACTTATTCACTTACTTACACTTACTAGGATAGTTTCGCAGCGTTACCTCCCAGTTCGTGGAATAAAAATGTTAAGAACTCAGAAAGTTAGAGAGATCTCCATCTTCCATGTAAAGGCATCCCTGAATTTGAATATTCAATATTGAATTTAGCTGTGTCGTTCGCCATTTCCCTTCCTATTTGTTATTATTTTTTTACTTACAAAATGGTTTAGTAAGCGATGACAAGCAAACATTTTTGCTCAGGGATAGCCTATGATTTTTTTAAGAATTCTGAAAGGAATCGATTACCTCCAATGGCACAGTTGAATGTTGGCCATTATAACTGAAGAAGTAAATTAAGTCAATCTTGGACATAACAATTCAGCAGTATAGTAACACTAGTAAAGCCGCCAGTAAGGTAAAAACAAGGTACATAAAGGTATAAAATTTTGCCGTGTAAACGACTCTCCTCATCAGTGTCGAGTCAGATAGTCCGAGAACGGGCCGGTGAAAAGTGGCACAAGTACCAAGTGTAAATTGGCCGTTAACACCCTTTTTGCACCCTGCCAGTTGAGTCCCAGATTTACAGTTATCTTTACGGTTGCACGCAAACCTAACATTCGAGTTCTGTTCCAGAAATGAGTAGACAAAAAGTTTAAATTTTGCAAACATATTTCGAGCAACATCTGTCACCTTTCAGAAGAGTAACGTTCATTTCTGTTGGTATTAAAACAATAACACTGATAGCGGATGCAACTGCTGACGTGAAAAATTTAGAGTTCTGTAGTGCCGGGTATCGCCTCTGATATTCTTTGAAAAAACCTTTATGAAGAGAAACTTTATGACTGCGTCAACAAGAGCTTTCCTTTCTTTTAAGCAAGTACCAGTTCCTACCTGAGTACCAGTATACGTCGATACTCGAGTGATGCCCTCGCTTGTTAGAATTTGAATTTTTTTCCGAAGGGCGGCCCTGGGTAGGGCTGCTTATCCGAAACTTTGAACTCCATAAAAGAGATCAATTTCGGCGATAGTTTCTGTCATGCGCCATCGACCCACATGTACACTACCTACACACAGTATTACAGCGAGTCATGCATATCCTCACAGCATGCTCATTAAGTCATCGCGTAAGGCTGAGGTATGGGAAGGTTCTGCCACTGCTGAGCCAGTAGCCAAGCAAGAGCTTGTCAACCGCCCCCAGGGGAGGTGGGTGGGTTGCAAAAGTTGGCTGTTGCGCCGTATAACCGATGAACCGGACCACGTTTCAGGATTTAAATTCCAGAAGCGTGAAAGATTGCTGCCACGTCAAGCATGAATGTTATGAGCTAATCAGTTGAACAACAGAAATGTGCCTTCTCGATTTCTTCGCGTGCAACTCTACAAGGATACCTTGACTGTTAAAACTATTACTATAGCTTCTTCCCTGAACACCCTAAAAGATACCAAACTCTGTAATTCACAGCTGCTAAGCGAGACGACCAACATCTCCGACCCTTCACCAAGTCCAAACGGTACCGAGTGCCCCTGTACTAGCACTAGTATAAATCAAGTGGAAAAGACTTGTACTTACTCACTGTGAGTCGAGACTTTTACTGAAAAAGTCTTCCATTTAATAGATGTGAAGCTCGATATTGCTTACAGAATTGAGCTTCAGTGCATGATCTTCTGTCGTTTAATTTATCGTTATGTAACCGTGACTGTGAGAGTCTTGTGATTTAAGGGTCCGACATCACCTCACCGTGGGTTTTTAACTTCAATTTGTTTTTCTTAGTTTATTTGAGAGCTCTTAGCTCTACAC